TCCCTTATCAGCTCCGAGACTCTGACTGGCCAGCTGTTTCAGGTAAATACGGGGGCCAGCACTACACTTCAGATTATCACAAGAGTTGATGAATCGATCCATTGTTTATTGTAAACTCATGGCTGGCTTGGGGTGTGTGCTCAGGGAATAGAAGCCATTACTTAGGGAAGAGCCAGCAGTTTCCAGGTAAATGAAGAAAGAAATAGACCTTCTATGTTGAGGTCAGGGAGGATGTCTGTAGGCTCAGCTCTCTGATAAGATTTTCTGCATGGCTGAGATACATCTGTGTGGGTGGAGAAGACAGGACCAGAGTAGTGTGTAAAAGGAGCATCCTGAAGGGCTGCCGGACTGAGCTAGGGGGCATGAACTCTGTCTTAGAGGCTTTGGGAAGCCCCTGGGCTGTGTCAAATGGTAAGAGCCAGGACTGTGGTGAGATCTACCAGCCCTGGGACAGCTGGAAAGGAAAACAAACACAGTTGGCAAGAGCAGTTTGAGGCTATGACAGGAACAGGCTCAGGGAGAGGAGCTGCTTCCGGCCAGGAGTTAATTCCCAGGGCTCGCCATTCTCCTTATTGACCACGGTGGCCGTTTCTGAATCTGCACTTCCCTTAATGGGTTTTGAATATGAATATGAGACTAGTGTTCTTCCCAAAGCACCTGTTTACTGAATACTTTCAGAGGCTACTAGGAATGTTCTTGTTATGGAATGACTGCTCAAAGTAACTGAGGTCCACGGGGTGGAATAAACAGCCAGACCTCCCGTCAGGCCATTGGAAAGGGACTTCCTACACCACCCTACACTCTACACAAGCCCTTGGGGATTCGTGGATTTCTCAACTTCTAGACCCACCCCCTGCCCCAAATCCCCCCGCCCTGACACCACGCAGAGGCTGCTGGTCCAGGCACAGAGTCACTACCATCCGGGCTGCTAGTCTGATATAAGAGTCAGTGCTCTTCTTTGTCTCTCCCTACTTCAGTTTTCCTGGTAACAAACAAGTGACATCTACACGGTCCTAAGCAGCCATGGACATTGTGTTAGATTAGAAAACAGCCGGATTGTACCTCAGACCAGAGAGGCTATTGAATTTCTTATTCGCTAGGGGCCCTCTGGAGAAGAGGAATCTTACACAACAGCCCACTTATACAGGTCTGGGAGGCTCTTCCCTTGTCAAGTGGGGTGGGGGCGACCTCCAAGTTCAGTTGAAAAACTAAGGCTGGATATTTCAGAAAAGCTCAGGATGCCCTGATGGGCAGAGCGAGCAGTTTCTCCACAGACACCACCATGTACCCTTCTGACCTTTGTGACTAAACTCTGATCAAGTGGGACCAATTGGGTTTTAATGGCTAGATCTGGGAAGGTCCTTGTGATGCTCTCCATGTAGCTGGTGGCCCTAAGTGTGCAACTGTCAGAAAAGTGACCCAGCTGACACTGAAGATCATCTCTGTCCTTCCTTCCCAGTGCCCAGCTCCCCTCTGTAGCTGAGCACTGTTGAGCCCTTGGGACACCTTTACAGAGTGTGCCCATGGGTCCCCCACTTTCAGACTAATGAACACTTCTCCCTGAAACCAGTGGGCTCATCATAAACTCTCAAGACCAGTGCTGAGGCCACTAGCATCTTCTCAAGGTCACGACTCTCTTACAGGCAGAAATGGTTTGTTTTACCATAGGGAACTTTGTCTAGACCACTGAAGAGGGAGTAGAGGACAGTCGCCCCTCCCTGATGTTTAAAAAGCCCTTGCTGTATGAAGGAGAGTGAACATCCATGGCCCAGCACCCTGAGGCTCCAAACATGGAATGGAACACACAAGATGGCCCATATGGAGGTCACCTGCTGGGGCATCCAGCCAGCTCTGGGGCCACCACCACACAAACCAGGCCAAACCATCACTAGCCTTGTGATGTACATCTCAGCCCCTACAGCTTAGGGTGTGTGTGTGGTGCTGGGATCCCTACTACTCTTCAGCTCAAGGCAGAATGGTCCAGTTAGAGAGAGGCAGACTCCTGGGTTGGTTTTCCATTCTCTGAGGAAGATATCATTTTCAAAAGGCATTTGATACTTAGATGAGGACTGTGGAAAATGCCATTTAATAGTCACATGGAGAGTGACATCCATGCTCATTCTTAGTTTGATGTGGGCTGGGCTAGCGACCATCTGGGATGACACAGCTGAGCCCTGCTTTTTTAATCTTCTACCAAAAATCTTGATATCTTTCTAGGCAAGTGCAAAATAGTGCTTGTGAGAATTTTAACTACTTGTATATCTGACACTATAATCTTAACTTATCGGTAGATTAATGATATACAGTCGTCTCTGTTGAGCACTGTATGCAGGACACTTTGCTCTCTATCTCTTCATACTCTCAGTAGCCAGCTTGTATTGATTTTTTATTTCTCCTGTGTCCACCTTGCAGAAGGGAAGCCAGGCTCATGGTTTCAACATAGTTGGGAACTGGGTCCTAGTCGTTCAGTCAACATATGTTGAAAATAGAGGGTGGGTGTAGGCATGAGTATGTGTCTCTCTTTGTCTTCTCGTCTGTGGTGGTTCATACTGGTGATTAATTTGACAAGATCTAGACTAACCTAGCAGATAGACCTCCTGGCATATCTGTGAGGGAGTTTTGAGATTGGTTTATTGTGATGGGAAGACACACCCTGAATGTGGATGGCATCCTCCTAAAGGTTGTCCTTGAACTGGAAAAGGAGGAGAGTGAACTGAGCACCTGCATCCATCTCTACTTCAGTGGATACAACATGAGCAGAGCCTCGGGCTCCTGTCTCCATGACTCCCTGCCAGCATGGACTGTGCCTTCATACAGTGAGATGAGACAAACCCTTCCCTGCTTAGGGTGCTGCCACTGGGTACCTTGCCACAGCGATGGGAAGTTTACAGACACACAGATCTTCACTCAGGAGTGCTCAAGCCTGGGAGATGCCACCTGACACTTCACTGTCTGACACTTTGCACGCATTAGCTCACACGACTCTCCCACACACTCTAGAGTGGATTCCATTGTCAACACACCCACTTCTACAGTCGAGAAGAGTGAGACACTGCAATGAGGTGACTTGCTCAAGGTTGCTTTAGGCTCATCCATGCTGGGCTTGGTCCTTTCGATCTGGACCTGGTGTGGGATGCCTTTATGCCCAAGATTTTCCTGTCCACAACTTTTCTTCTCTTCTGTGACTGACTCTTATATACCACAGGAGTCCTATTGTGCTGGAGCTCTGTGTTAATAAGAAGAACGTGGCACAGTGTAACAGACGTGCTGTGGCTTGAATGCACCTGCCAGAGTTAACCTCAGAGTTTAATCGCCATGTTGGAGGGTCTAGGAGAGGGCCAGACAGTCATGAGGGTGCATGACTACAATCCCAGTGCTCAGGAGGCTGAGGCATGAGTATGGTGGTTCTGAGACCAGCCTGGGCTACACCGGGAGACCCATACCATACCTTCTCCCAGAAAACAAGAGGGACGACCAGGGAGGATATTTAAGAGCTTGCTGGGTCAGGTCACCAGGGTTCTCTCTGTCCTTCTGGACAGATTAGTGGATCCATGGGTGGTCTTGAAAGTGAGTCGTTTACAAGATACACTTTTTTGTCTCTTGTCTATACCTGTCTTGTAATATAGTTGTCTAGTTTTGCATCACCATGACCACAGCACCTGGACTGAGACACATAAATGAGGAATGATTTATTTCGACTCCTGGATTCAGAAGGTTCAGCCATCATGGCAAGGAGGACGTAACAGAAAAGAACAGCTCAGATCCTGTGTGTCAGGAGACAGAGAGAAGGGACCACTCAGACTCAGGTGGTTTCCTTTTTTCTACCTTCACTGCAGCCAAGGGACTGCACTGTCCCCCTTAGTTAATCCTCACAGGCAAATACCCTCAGAGTCATACTCAAAGATGTCCTCACTCCCCTAGGTCAACTTGACAGCACTTAGCCTTCACATTGTGTTATGTCCTGGCCTTCATCCATCACAACCCCTCTATCTTGGACAGGCCAGCCTGTAGAACCGAGAGTGGAATAAATTCTTAGTCTTTATGGGTTGCCCATAAGAGTGTGTAGCATGTTCTAGTAAAGAGAGATGGCTAACAGTGACTAACAGAAATTAAGTACTTTCCCTCATTCCTCATTCTTGCTATATACAAAGTATATTTTTTGCCTGAAGACACCATGACCTTTGAGGCACTGTTAGGTTTAAAATCATGAATGGATAGGCAAGCATGCATTTGCTTGATGTATGTAAATAACCCCTGCACAGGTCTGACCATCGGAAAATTAGGGGTGAGGTCATGAGGAGGCCATGGGCATTCCTGAAAATTAAGGTGCTTTCAGAATTGATTGGCCTCAGCATTCACATTACACCATGATTTCAAGCAGGCTACTTTCAGCAAACCAAGCTCTTGATTAGTGCTTGGTGCTTCATTGGCTGGGCACACTTTGCCTGGGCACAGGTCGGGAGGGGACTTTGGTCATCAAGCAGCAGAGATTCGTGCACACTGCCCTTAAGGAATAGACCCAAATAATCATGCCTGTGATTTTGGCTTTACAAGTGTGAACCAAGGCTAGAATGTGGTAAGAGAAAGAGACCCAGAGGGATATTTTAATTTCAGAAAACAAGCCTCTCCACCCAAGGAATTGCCCCCATGAATTGATTTTAAAATGATTGCATCTCTTCCAAATGAAAAAGAAACTCATATTTCTTAATGCCTGTTCATCATTAAAATTATGGCAATTATTGCACTGCTTTTGGCTGATAAATATTCAGAGGACAAGTGAAGGCCATAAGATGGATTAATTCTGTAGGAGTACAAACAAAAACTTTCAGTATTTCATATCACATAATTAAATGCGGTTTCTAGAGCCAGAACTTGGGACTTGCTAATTAGTTGCCTTGAGAAGATACTCAGACTTGTTTTGTGCTTGGTGTTCAGAACCAGAGTCTTTCTAAGCCCTGCACTGCACAGATGAAGGAGAATGCTTGCAGAATCAGTCCTACCTGCAGAAGTCTGGGGGCACCATGCCGTAAACATCGATCCTGTCGCAGAGCTCCAGAGCAATTGTCATGGTGAACCAGCCCGTGCTCAGCCACGTGTTGGAGATCTTCCTGGAAGGAGCAATGGTGAAGTCTGCACTCTGGTAAAGTAGTCTCGGGTCCGTAAGCATGCAGGACCTTTCTGGAGTAAGGCTGGCTATAAAAGATACCCCCAACCCTAACACACGCGCACACTCACACATGCACACACGTGCACACACTTTCTCTCGTTTCCTCCCGTTTGATAAACATCTGGAATTTTGCTGAACTGAAATCTCTAATAGTTCAATCATAACCGATGTTGATGCTTGAGGGATTTCTACATCATTAAAGATAATGATCATTGCTTGAATGTTTAGGTGTGTGTTGTCATAATTCAATTGTAAGATGACAATATCCATGTGGCAATTGATCCTTGACCAGAAACCCACCCTTTGCCCCTAAACAAGGTAATGAACAATGTAAATATGAATAGATATAAGATCTTGCTATTTCTCTATCTGCTCATCTGTCTTCTGTGTAAGTATGATTCTAACACTCATCTCTTATTAATATTTACCACAATCATTTATTACTTATATAGCATCAATCTGTCATTCTGCCATGTCTATCATCATGTATCACTTTTCTGTCACTCAATCTGTCATCTGTCTCTCCACTATCTACCCATTTATCCTGTGTGTGTATATGTATAAGTCCACCCATCCACCCATCCTTAAGAGGGTGTCCCCAACACCATTAAGAGCACTGGTGACAGAATGTCTTGTCTTAGGAGGGGTTCATGCATTCAGGAAAGGTGGAGGAAGAGAGCCAGGGGATTGTTTACATTTAATAGGGCATCTACTTTTACTTTACCTAAGGGCACCCAGGGCTTTCTGAAAATGTCTAAGTCCCAAATCATCAAGTTGGAGGAAATAGATATTGCATGTTGCAATTCATTAGCATGTCTGTGCAGACTTGAGAGTGAGGCCGAGACACACGCCCCCCGCAGACCTGTGGAGACAGCACCTGAGTCCTGCGAGGGACTCACTCACTCACTGCTCTCCACGCTGCACTGCTCATGTCAGTTCTTTGGGGACTGCTGCCCTTTCTCTTTTCGGTGCCATGGCACGCCTCATTAGCCAGCTCCAAACACCTTATCCCCAAGGTCAGACTGTCTGGCTTTGCCCGGCCACTCTGCTGTATGTGAGGTGAATAGCAGAGCTGCAGAGAGGGCTCTCTAGACGTGCTGTGGAGCTCCACCGTCGAGAAGGAAGACTGTTGGACAGTTTGCTTTGTGTCCCTTCATGCGGGGACAGGAAAATACTGAAAATTAGGGGGCTTTTGCCTTGCAAAGTGCCTGACAGACGTGGGTGGGTTACAGTTTCAACTTCAAGTCCTTAAGCCTGAAGACATGGGTGGGTTGCAGTTTCAATTTCAAGTCCTTAAACCTTTAGCATGTATTCCGCCACTCTGCTGCTTCCTGCCTGAGCTTGTTAAAGCCCCTGCAGATGAGGGTAATGTGAGCTCGACTGTCTCCTGTTTCTGTCATACACAACTGGATGGATGACCTGAGGCAGTCACGGCCAAGCTCTGAGCCTTGGCGTCTTATCTACTAAGCAGCTATAGGGTGCTCCGTCCTCTGGCCATTTGAGAACTAAATTAGAAAATGTGCACAAAAGGGTCCGAGTGGGGTGTCCGAGTGGGGTGTACCGACACACAGAGATCCTGCTCTTCTCTCCTGGCTTCTGGGGGGAGTGAACAAAGTAAAAAGCTCAGCATTCCTTCGGTGCCCTTTAGTACCCACGAAGAAAAAGCCCTTCCAACCCTCCGCCACCTGGTCTGATGGAGGAGGCACATCGGACGCCGGGCAGCAGTTCTAAAGAGCAGATGCTTACTGCTGTTGTGGGCATGGAGATGCCCCTTCCCTCTCACGCGTGTGCCCTCACTCATATCCCATAGTCCTCTGAGAGATCGGGAACCAAATGATCGCTATCACATCTCCCGCTTTTACATCCCAGGAAACAAACGCCAACCAGGGATTTCCCGGGAGCAGAAACTCCCTGGATGGAAGTTTTCCTGTGCGGCAGGGTAGAGCACACGGGGCAGCCCCAGTGCGGGGGGGGGGGGGGGCAGGGGGGGCGGCGCGGCGGGTGG